TGTTGCTCATATAAGTTTGGTGTCTTAATCTCTTACCGTTTCTGAGATCTTGCTCAGACAACTTCTTATCTTGAGGACAGAAAAACACGCGACCGGAAGTGAATTTTACAAAGATATTTGACGTTACTCTATACATTTGCAGTCTGAATAACATATTTAGAAATCATTTCAAATACTTTATCTACAAAAGACATTAATGGGAAAGAAAAACACTCAAATTTTGTAGTTTTTCTCTTATAACCGGAAGTTGACGTTTTTGTTTCTTGGGACCAACATATTTCGAAACTACAAAAGAGAGTTAATAAAATTTAATATGGGTCTTTAAAAAGATTTTTTATTTATGAAAAAAAGAGCACAGAATTCACAAAGAGAAAAAAAAAGTTCAACATCGTTGATAAAGATGAAAACGTAAATAAAGCAAACAATTCAGATTTAGTCGGGATTAATGCTAGGTTCACTTTGTGCATAAAATAGCCCTGTAGATATACCAATTTATTGACTAACACTTTATGCTCCATTTTAAACATGAAGATGAAGTAGAGACTTAGTGCTTTCGTTTCCTATTAAAAGTTTTCTCCTTAAAGCCAAGGTCTTGGAAAACAGGCTTCATGGAATTGCAATGTTCTTGAATTTTAAGGAAAACAAGTATATTTGAGTACTTTCACAGAAGAGAAATAATATGAGCGCACCCTCTGATCTGAAAAATAAAACAGGTTTTGTAATCCTCAGAAATAGTACTATCATTTAATAGTTGCATAATTAAGATCAGAGGTTACGCCCTATATTAAATATCGAAAAATAGCTTTAAGAATTGGCTGTTTTGTAGAAATTTTCAGGATATGAGGAAAATGACGCATTTCATGACGTCTTAATGCATATGCAAGCCAGAAAATTACGTCATTTTTTATAGATACGCAGTCATCAAAGGCCTAAATGAAATTTAATGCATTGTCAACGAAAACCAAGCAGTTTCAGTTTTTCTGAGTTCACAGGGCCAAAAAAGGCCCTAAGTGAACCTTGTTCTTTAATATTGAAACCCCTACACTAGCGCAATTTACCAGCCATCATCGATGTTTACCTTGCACTCATTCCCTGAAGTAACGAGTGTCAGACAGGTTATAGTGTGGAATTATAGGATGAAAACTAGCCAGCTAAATTTTGTGCAAGTGCTAATAGATTTACATCGGATTTGTTACTTGAGTTTTAACAATAACTGATAGCAGAGAAAATAATCTGTTACTAATAAAAACTAAAAAAAAAATATTGTGTTTACTTCCTTTTTTCTTTATGCATTCAACTTTCTATTCTATGCAATTCCAAATACAGACATGTCCGTGTAATCTTTTTCTGTACTTCTACACTACTGCATCAGACCATTTGTGAAAGGCGGGTCAAGATACATTATTTCGCGCCAAACTTCACGAGTAAATCTCCGCGCCTTTTCTTTGAAATGTGTCTTCAATTGAATAAATGTACGTGATAGCTTCAATGAAATTAAAAAAAAAATATATGTTGCTATAGCCTGATTTTCGAGCCTAAGAATGTTTATTTATCACACTGTACATATAACATATCGTATACGGGCAAGTAACATAAAGGCAGCGCTAAGTTTTCTTATACATTTCATATTCCTCTTTACCCCCAAAGTGGATTATTCCAATTAGTAAAACATTAATGAAAAGACTGGAATGTTTTGCAACAAAACATGTCTCGCCATATGACGCTCAAGGAATCTGATACCTATTATGTTTGGTAACTTGCATCTATGAAGGAATATAACCCTACTAAAATCAAAGAAAAATATTGAAAAACGTAAAAGTTGAAAAAATTGACTTTTTTAATTCGCTTCCGGTAGCGACCGGAAGTACTCACGACGCACGAAAAGGCAAACCCGCACATCTAAAAGTCATGTTCTATGCTCTCTAAGAAGTCTCCAGTTCCTATCTTTAGCCGTTCTTTAGATCTCGCGAGGATAAAATTTCATTTCAAAATCAGAAAATGTCCATAACTTGGAACCGGAAACGAATTTCTCCAAAACTCTTTCAAATGTAACAATGGCATTTTATAGCGCATTATCCCTGAAAGTTTGATGAAAAACCATTGAATAGTTCTCGAGATATTGCGTGCACAAGATTTGTCTAAAAAATCTATTTTTAAAATGTATTCCGGTAGACAATTTTAAAAACAAGTTATATATTAAGCATCACAATAAGAGTCTCTATAAACCCTATTAAAATCAAAGAAAAATATTGAAAAACGTAAAAGTTGAAAAAATTGACTTTTTTAATTCGCTTCCGGTAGCGACCGGAAGTACTCACAACGCACGAAAAGGCAAACCCGCATATCTAGAAATCATGTTCTATGCTCTCCAACAAGTCTCCAGTTCATATCTTTAGCCGTTCTTTAGATCTCGCGCGGATAAAATTTCATTTTAAAATCAGTAAAATGCCCATAACTTGGAACCGGAAGCGAATTTCTCCAAAACTCTTTCAAATGTAACAATGGCATTTTATATTGCATTATCCCTGAAAGTTTGATGAAAAACTACTGAATAGTTCTCGAGATATTGCGTGCACAAAATTTGTCTAAAAAATAATAATAATAATAATAATAATAATAATAATAATAATAAGAAACAGTAGAATCACTATAAGGTCTTCCGTGAAGACGGAAGACCTTAATAATAATAATAAGAAACAGTAGAATCACTATAAGGTCTTCCGTGAAGACGGAAGACCTTAATAAGAAACAGTAGAATCACTATAAGGTCTTCCGTGAAGACGGAAGACCTTAATTATAAGAATACGAATTAGCGATAAAACCCCCGCTCCACACTTTTACCATGTATTACAACCATATAAAAAAAGCGAATAATTTTATGTTTCATGTGGTGCTTCTCACGAAGCTACGTGATAATAAATTCCTCACTGTAGTTCACTATTGCACTGTTAGGTTGATGACACGATAATGCCACGATGCAATAACGATGACGCGATGTAGCAATGATAATGCAATGACGATGGTGTAATAAAACAATGAAGCGATAGTAAGTATCTCTTCATCTTTATCGCACATTTGCATCTTCGCCATCACAGTCGCGTCATCGCGCTATCGCTTCATTGTGCCATCACATCATCGTTACCATATTGTCGCGCCATCGCATTATTGTCATTGATTCATGGTCATTGCATTATTGGTCATCGCATTGATGGACCCAAACCTTTATGGTGCAATGACGCAATAGTGGACTTCATAGCCCTATCCGGATTCCACAAACATACCCTGGATGTAAGAAATTTTACATCGGAAAAATAAGCAACACTCTAAGAGCTCGGATATTTATCGAATACAGATGGTGTCATGTAGATCACTATCGTACTATTTAGCATCAACTGTTGTTGCAATGGTGGGATGACACAATGTTGCGATACCAATGATCCAATTGTCATTCAAATTGAAAAATTCCATACTTAATTTTTTTTTAAAGATATTGGTAAATGTTTGTAAATTATTTTTGTTTATTGAATTATTTCAATTAACTGTGACTTATAATTGTAAGCCAAATGATGTTCATGACAGTCTGCAGATTTTCCATCCATAATGTCTAAAATACTGAGCATGTTCATCTTTCAAAAAATCACAATATGTCTATTTTAGACATGTTTCTATAAAAAGAATGGAGAACCCATGCTCAATAATGTGTGAAATATAGTGGAGATTGGTAGAACTGTAAAAAAAAAAATTCTACGAATTTTCTAATTGGTGTAAAATTGTCATTTTTAGCTTTATTGGGACTTACTTTTAATACTGGGTAGCTATTAAATTCATTCCTTATTATTTAATTTTCCATCACCAAGTGTAAATGATTGATTGATTACTGTTTAATGCCAAGGCAACATTATTTCAGCCATATTTCAGCGGGCACTAAGTGTGAAAAAATAACGATTTCTCCTTCAAATTGTACATAATTAAAATGTAACATCAAGCGGATCGATACGTTTTTGACTTAAGTCAGTGTGACCTAGGCAACACAGGTTATATGGTATAAAATAATTTTTTATCCAATCAAATGACGAGTAAAAACCAAAATTAAATTATATACAAGTAGACTACACTGAGATACATCACTCTGCTTATCAGTTTTTGGTTTTGATGAATGGCATTGCTATGGTGACTAAAATTAAAAATTCCTGTCAAATTCTATCAGGAAGCTTCTTCTACAGCTTTGATCTGATTCCAAGAAGACTGCACTAAGACACATAATCCTGTGCATCAGATTTTAGTTTTAGATAACAGTGTTGTCATGGTAACCAAAAAAAAGGAAATTTCGGTCAATTCTTTCAAAGGCTACTCCTATTACAGTTTTTGACCAACTGCAATTTTGACACAAAAAGAGGCTAAATAAGGATATTTTTTTATTTACTGTCAAGTCCAAGTGCTAGCTACTTTTCTCTTCCTTTGTTAAATAAATACCAGTAGAGCTACAGTCTCTTCAGAGACTTCTGGTTCCTTATATGCTGAGGGGTATGTTTTTGTTGATGTTTATTGCTATAAATAGAAATGGAAACCTCTACTAGTACTGGTAGTTCTGCATTTCAATTAATATTGACTAGTTCTTGTAAGTCACAATATGGTTATGACAGAAAATCTGCAAATTTTCCACCTCTTATGTTTGAAATAGTGCAAGAACCTACATTTTCTAAATTATTTGAGGTACTGTAAAATCATTAAATTTTGTGGGCGTTTTATGGCATAGAGAGACCCACAAATATATGTCCTCCACGAAATGTAAAATTCAAATATATAACAACTTTTAAACAATATAAAAGCTTTTCTTCATTCACAAAGAAAATCCCCTTTACCAACGAAATTTTTTCTTCAAAACAGGAAAAAATTACCCCACGAAAAATAGGTGATCTTACACATGTTTACCCTTTATCCCGTGGATATCACTCATTGGATATTTTTTTTTTTTGATATCCCACAGATATGATGTCACAATGGGTTTTAGCGTGAGAGTGGAGAAGTAAAATGAAGTAGATTCCTATATAAAAACAGTGTAAAACATTGATTGTGATGTATAAAACTTAGGATAAAAAGAATCTCCCATGATTTGTGGTTGGATATGAATTTTATCCAACTCGTTGTGAGTTTTTTATCCCCTCGCCAAGGCTCGGGAGTAAAAAAAACCACACAACTGGTTGGATAAAAATCATATTCAAGCACAAACCATGGGAGTTCTTATATATACCTTACATATATTTTTAGTTTATTGTTACTGTAATAAAATATGGAGAGCCCATGCTCATTAATGTGTGAAGTGTTGTATGACCACATCTACTTGAAGATGGCATATTTTAGAGAGCAGTGTTATTTTAAATATTTTTGTGAAGGTTGTAATTGGGGGAAAATTTCATTTTTTCTCTTATGCTGAGACATCTGTATTTTTAAGTATTTGGTGTTATAAATAGAAATGGAAATAATCTCCGCAGATTATTTTGCATTTTAGCTAATGCTCTCTTGTTCTTGTCAGTCACATTACATTAATAATAGTTAGTCTGCAAATTGAGCATTCCTTATGTTAGAAATAGGGTAAAAATCTATATTTCCTTGATTATTTGCAATATGTCTATTTTTAGATATACAAGTATGTTGCTATAAATAGAAATCGAAACCTCCGCTGATTATTCTGCATTTCAGTAAATGCTTTCCTGTTCTTTTGTCATTCACCTTTTGTCAATAACAGTTAATAATAGTTAATCGGCAAAATGTCCATCCCTATTGTGGGAAAATCTATATTCCCTTGATTATTTGCAATTTGTCTATTTTTAGACATACACGTATGTTGCTATAAATAGAAATCAAAACCTCCGCTGATTATTCTGCATTTCAGTAAATGCTTTCCTGTTCTTGTCATTCACCTTTTGTAAATAACAGTTAATAATAGTTAATCGGCAAAATTTTCATTCCTAGTGTGCGAAAATCTATATTCCCTTGATTTTTTGGAATTTGTCTATTTTTAGACATGTGTTGCTATAAATAGAAATTGAAACCTTCACTGATTATTCTGCATTTCAGTTAATGCTGTCTTGTACTTGTCGGTCACCTGATGTCAATAACAGTAAATAGCAGTTAGTCTACAAATTGTCCATCCCTAATGTGAGAAACAGTGCAAAATTCTACATTTCTTCAATAATTATAAAACGTTTGTTACTATAAATAAAAATGGAAACCACAGCTTATTATTCTGCATTTCAGTTAATGCTTTCTTGTACTTGTTGTTCCCCTTATGTTATTAACAGTTAATAGCAGTTTGTCTGCAAATTGTCCATCCCTAATGTGAGAAAATAGTGCAAAATTCTACATTTTCTTGATAATTTGTAGAATGTCTATTTTTAAACAATTGTTACTATAAATAGAAATGGAAACCTCCACTTATTATTCTGCATTTCAGTTAATGCTCTCCTGTACTTGTCAGTCACATTATGTCAGTTACAGTTGATGACAGTGAGTATGCAAATTGTTCATCTCTAATGTGAGAAATAGTGCAAAAATCTACATTTCGTCGTTAATTTCCCATGTGTCTAATTTTAGACATTTGTACTATTTATAGAAATGAGAGCCTATCCTCAATAATGTGTGAGTTATTGTATCATCCCTTGTTCTAATTGATGAAATATTGGTGAGAGCAGTATGTTTATTACTTATGTTTTAGTGGAGCTTCTAAATGATAGAAAATAGTCATTTTTACACATATTATGAGACATGTCTATTTTAAGGCATTTGAAGCTATAAATAGAAAACGGAACTCCCTTTAAATAATATGCATAGTAGTTACTGGTGTCCAGTTTCTGTCATTAACATATTGACTTTTACAGTATATTTCTTAAATACCTAACAATGGCATCTTAAACTCTGCCCAAATTTGATTTTTTAGATTTTTCTGAAATATGTCTATTTATAGATACATGTTACTAAAAATAGTATTGAGATCCCACTCCAATTTTTTCATGAGGTGACACTCCTAATTCTGAAGTATGAAAACACACATAAGATTTGAAAAATTTCCGTAGACAATTTTTTTTATTTAACCTTAAAGTTCTCAAAAAATACCAAATTTCCCATTTTTCACATTTTCAGAAACTATGTCATTTTACAGGACCTTTTTCTTAGAGTGGGAATAATTCTGGAATAACCGATTATATGCCCTGTATACCATAAAAGTTAATGTTTTCTTATGATACAATGATTTATGTTTGAGTTTACTACATAAAGACAAAAATGCATTTACATTTCCTCAATTTTCATGTTTTTATTTGGTCAAAAAGGGCCAAATTCAATGGATCCGTCTCCATGGCAACCGGGTGCACGTGTGAAACTTCTAACACCATATTTACTAGTTTTGTGCCAAGATGCACCTGTGGTACAAATTTCATCAAAATCGGAGATATGTTGTTTCCAAGCCCTATAGTAAATTTTTTGGTGCTTACAGAGAATGCATGATAAAAGTTAAAGTAAGAAAAAGAATGCAGGGTTTTGCAATGCTAAGATAAAAAAAAAAACTACAACAACCTCAGAGAAAACCAAAATTAGAATATTCTACACCAACACGAAATCTATCTTTCCTGAAATCTTTTTTCGAAACAGGGTTTCCTTAATAGCATTTCTGCTCTTAAGGGCAGTTCTTTATGAGCATATCAACGATCCGTCTAGGAAGCAGAACAAACATGGAGGTCGCATGAAAGTCGCAAATTTTACCTTCACCTTTAAAGTAATGCATGAAAAAAGAAAAAAAAGGCGGAGTTTGTTTTCATATGGGACATTTTTTGCCCAAATGACAGCCTCATGCCAAGAAGTTCATGACTAGGTGTAGAACTATTTGTTTTGGTAACTGTAAATGTTTCAGGAAGAATTTCGTTATACTGCTCTTTGCAGCTGTGACTACTCTTAAGATTTGGTCTTATGAGTACTATAAAACAACAATAACCCGTTCTTTAGCGTATGCTCACTGGATATATACGTTTAATAACACTTAATTCATCTTAGTTTGACCAAATTTTGATTGAATATTTCATTGAATTCAAGCTCAAAAGTCCATTGAAACAATGCTAATTTGGAACAGAGCAAACACGGACATCTAAACCCGTCAGATGTGATATCAAGTGCCATGGAGGAGTAAGCTAGCATCCCCTGTCGACCGGTCACATCCACCGTGTGCTCCTTGTCATGATCGGGCAAGGAGCAATTCAGTGTGAAAATAATGGTCTAAAATTTTTTTGATATAAAAAGTCAGTCAACATCCGGCTAAATGATAGATTGTATATGCTGACAATGTCATTGTATAGACCATAGAATTTACGAAATGTTGACTTTAACCGAGACTGTTGATATGCTTGTCTCACCAACTTATTTGTTAAGAGCTTGCCTCGTTTTAGAAATTGTTCATACATAGAGAATATAGTTTAGTGTTGCACCAATCTATCCCCGGGGACAATTTATGAACAAATTTTAATAATCACAACAAGCTTGTCTTTATTAGAAAAAATTTAAAGATTCACAATAAACCTTTCAGCCCCCTCCGACTGTTATTACATTCTCTCCAAGGGACATACATTTGATGAAAACATCAATACTTCTTACCCGGGGATACTGACTGTGGTTAAATATCACATTACTTTTTTATTGATTGATGTTTTATGTCTCTTGCAAGATCATTTCACTCACGTCACCGTATGGCGGCGAAGGAGTTCAAATGTAGACGTTTACTCGGCACTTATGGCCAATGAGAAGTGAGTGATCTTTATCGTGCCAACAGCTGCATCCGAAGCAATAGGCTTACATACCTTTTTGCCTTGAACTTGACCCTCTGATTATTTTTTTTAAAAATAATTTTTTACTGCAAGACATCGTACCATGGTACCATGTATTGTACTTACGTGTAAATGCTTTACTGCAAAATGTTACGGAAAGTCTACCTTTCATAAAATATTGGACTCCTGGCTTGTAATCAAATTAAAATTGAAGTATTTTTGTCACCTGAAAAGCAGTGCAAATCTTTTCATGGTCTTCTTGAGAACTGGAGGGCCATTATTTTACTGTTTTGCTTCCACATTAAAACGCAGTTATGCAGCTAATTGTCAAAATAATGGATATGAATACGGATTACTCCACTTACTTGATCTATACAGAGGTTTCACGGTGGGTATATGTGACTTGTCGACTGAGGATGCTTACTTCTCCTAGGCACCTGACCCCACCTCTGGCGTTTCCAGGGGTCTATTTTTGCCCTGTTCACGATTCGTATTGTTTATAGGATTTATGAGATCGATTACCGTTAGGCCATCTTTAAAAATTGTTTGGTTGCCCTCTCCCGACCGACTGACTAAAAATGGCCCGACTCAAAACTTTTTTCTACATTCCAGGACAAGATATTTTTTTTTGCAATTCCTCTTATCCCTTCAACAAAAATGTTGAAATTTTCAGGAAAAAAAGATTTTCCCACCTACCTACCGACCCAATAATTTTACCCTGAGTCGGGAGAGGGAAAACAAACATTATTTTAAAGATGGCCTTATCTTCACCTTTTCATCAAAGTCTTATCTTTTCAAGAACAATAACAAAGAATCTTATTTTTGAAGGAAGTAAATCAAGGTAAATACAATTGGTTTTATACAAATATAGTACTCATGCTAAATATCACAGCTATAAATTAAGTAAATGTACACTGTATACTGGCATGAAGTAAAATAATTTTCAAAAAACAAAACAAAACAAAACAAAAAATAGAAAAAAAACCCAGGTCTTTGTCAGAAGCGCATGCGCCCAGCTATACACATATGAAATATCTGTATAATGGATACATATCACTTAGGCAGAGACAACATCTGACAAAGTGATGGCTACATTGTAAGTGTCTTTCTCTGCAATCAACAAAAACAAACCTAAAGTTCTAATTTAGAAGAAAATAATTCTTTGTAACAGGTTTAAAGAAGGATAAATCGGTATGAACTTGCAGTCAGGAAAACAATTATTTAAGAAGTAATTGGCAAATTAAAACATTAAAGCATTATACTGCTGTATAAATGTACGTGTTTTGTTCTTCTTTTTTTCAGTTTTAATCAGAATGCATTTCATATTAAATTTTTTTAAACTGGGGACCAACATACTTCCTGTTATAATGTAGATCCTCTTAAAATCGAAATCAATATAACCATGATTCATCTTTTAGTTAAAGGTTTATTTATAAAAACGATAATCAGAAAATGAAATCATAATTCAAGGTTTGTTAAGTCCAGATAAAAGTGTGAAAAGAATGCAATGTTAGGCTAGCATACATATGCTGTTCCATGATGGGGTAATGTAAACTGCATTACATAAAATACAATAACTGAACTTTTTTGGCAAATAATATACATGTAAATTGCAAAAATTCTGCAAAATAATACATCAATTTCCAATGAACTTGCATATAAATTGATTTACCAAATAATTTTTGTATTGTTGTGAAGGAAAACAATATTTGTATCACTAGCTCTATTATACAAATGCATGTTTCTACATTCATTCATAGTCCTAATTATTAAAAAGTATGAAATTATGACAAACAAAACTTTTCTGCGGAAAAAATTTCTGGGGGAAAAAATTATTCTACATGTATTTAAAAAAAAAATAGTTAAGGATTTTAGGGAAATTGAATTCAAGCAACAAAAATCTTGAGCATCATTTTTCTTTCTTAGATACTGACACACTGACCACTACCCCATACAGCTCATAAATGGCACTTACATTTAAATCTTGTTTGTGATGTCACCTTTGAATAACTGGACTTAAAATATTTCTCAGAAAGATTTTGTGATCAGATTCTGTGTCGTAAAAGTGTATTTTAAGTAGAGTGGGCCATTGCTCCATGTTTTTGTTAAGCAAGAAATGTATATTTTTATACTTTGAAGATATACTTAAAAATGGAGCAAAGACGTACAAATATAGACAAATATTATAACACGAAGAAATGATCATTTCTTCCCTTCTTTGGTGTATATGCAAGCTATTTCATAGAAAATAATTTTAACACTTGTGAAATTGTTTTAAATTTTTGAGATTTTACATTAAGTATATATCAATGTTAACTGAAATACCAAAGAAAAATTGTATTATAATTTATATTAATTTTTTCACTTTCTTTTTGACGATTAACAGACATTTTTCTTGGTTGTTCGCCCATCTTCATAATAAATGTTTTTTCTCTCTCTCTCCCTCAAACTCTATCTCTCCCTCCCTTTTCCTTTATGAATATGTTCATTTTAAGTTCTCAAAAAGATTTTTAAATAATAGTATAAATACGAGGACTGTTTGGAAATTATTTAGACAATGTGTTTATCCTCTTTTCTAATGAAAGTCTTTTGGTGAAAATAAGCAAACACTAACAATATATAAAAGCTAGAAACATTTTAGAAATATTTTAATTTTTTCTTTTCAGTGGTATAAAATATGTCGATGGTAGAGGTACCAATCGCAGTTATGAAATCAGATAATGTTTGTTGTTTAACATCCCTCTCTAGAATTTTTCACTCATATGGAGACGCCACCACTTGCCAGTAGCCCGGAGAGCTTCAAATTTAGACCATTGAGGGTGAGGGGTCTTTTTCGTGTCAGCACTTACTGCGACATGGGACCTCGGTTTATACGATCTCATCCAAAGGACCGGTATCCACGTCCTGTAGTGGCATTCGAACCCGCGACGCAAGGATCATTACACCGCGACTCTAGAGCAAAAGCTCTAACCACTGTGTCACGCGGGCGACAAATCAGATGCTCACTCCTCCATGGCACCTGATCCCAACTCTGATGTATTAGAGGTCCATGTTTGCTCTGATCCTATTTTGTAATGTTTAATTGACTTTTGAGCTCGAATACTGCTCGTTATCTCCACATATTTCATAATGGAAATCAGTAACTACTGCGAATTACATTGTAAGTTCCGTTGACGAGTAGTAAGTGGGAAATTATTCAAATTACAATATAGGTATATTATTCTTTTAATTTTATTTTGACTTTTGTGCAAGTTTGATAGAATTTCCATCAAAAATTAATACGGAGATCATATAAAAAATTCACCAGGGTATAGAAATCTGAGTACGACGTCAAAATGAATTTTGACGTCAAGGGGAGCAGCGGGCATACATATAATTTTGTATCGCGTTACAGAGAAGTCTTATCCAGACTAAAACATAAAAATGCGAAGATAACTTGTCTAGGGTTGGCATAAACATTTTTCTTACAAATTATTCAACCAGAGTGAAAGTAAAGGCGCCAGACGACCATCATTTATCACGGATTACTAAAGATCTAATTAACATTAGCGGGGTTAAAGATGCTAATCAAACCGTTTATGATATTTGGTGGCAAATTTGCATTTGGGTAGCAACAACACATATTTTATTATTTATTTATTTAAGAATCGTTTATGAGACAGTTTGATTTCCATACAGAATTTTATGAAGTGATGGCATAAAAAGAAGAGTAAACGCTTCCCGATCGTTTCAACATGAGAAAAAATTTACGGCTGAAGTGAGTAAAAAAGACCGTAATGATAATCTCTGAGGACTGCTCAAGGTTAATGAACATATGCAAGTCTAAATTTCAATAGGACTTATCCTTTCTTCTGACCTCTTTCTTCTATGGAGTGACCGTTCACGGTAGCCCAGTCGGTAGAGCGCCCGCTCCGTGATCGGAAGGTCGTGAGTTCGAATCTCGGCCGCGACTGACCTAAGTCGATAAAAAGTGGGGAGCAACTGTTCCTTCGCCATGTGCTCGGCACTTTGAAGTGAAAGTTGCAGGTCCTTCGGATGAGACCTTAAAAACAGAGGCCCTGTGTCGCGGCAGGCGTTGGCAGGATAAAGATCCCTCACTGCTCAATGACCCTGAGTGCCGAGTAAAGGTCAAAATTTGAAGCCCTTCACCGGTATATAGTGACGTCTCTATATGAGTGAAAAATTCTCGAATGGGACGTAAAACAACACACAATCAATCAATCTTCTATGGAGTAAAAGTAAATGTCTCAATTATTTCCGAATAGCCCTTGTATGTAAGATAAAGCAAATACAATGTACAATATTAATGTGAAAACTGGTAATTGAAAAGCAATTTTAAAGTTATATTTAAAGATAACTGTGTAATCACATGTCATTTTGGAAAGTAATCAATTCATTTATGATAAATAAAATTAATATTACAAAAAAGTGAGATTACTAGTAATTTCAATTACTCGGTACTCTCAAATACTTTCATTCAAATTTTAATTTAAAAAGAACTATTCAAGATTATACATATATTACCTTGATTTACAATATCAATATCCTTGTCCTGATCAAATTAATATCTGCAGAATACGCATGTCTAGTATTATCGAAGGTCACACTCTTAGCATTGAAATGTCTTATCTTTGTCAAGACATTGTGCTGTTTACTGGATATTGTGAGCAGGATGATTTTTACTTACTTTTATGTTTTCTTCTCTCTATTTGCATCCTCCAATGGATATTGGAAAGATAGAAAAGGAATGGAGCGCTTAGAGGAGAAAGTCGCAAATTTGGAAGACTTTACGATGAAGCTGTTGAAAAAGTTGGAAATGGCAGAAAACGATATCCAAAGCTTGACCACTGAGAATGTCCAGATTAGGAAAGAGCTTCAGGAAACAAGGCTACAGGTACAAATACTGGAAAAGCAAGATGAAGCTTCAAAGATTCCTTCGCCATTCCCAGAATTTCACCTGGAAAATTGGAAAGCAACAGAATCTTCTGACGACACAAAGACACAAGACAAGAATCATGACAACGTTACAAAATCTAGTAAGTCTTTTAATAGAATAATTTTAATAAGTTTTAATCATGTTCCTGTTAATTTCGGTTTCATAAAAGATAGTAACGCGGGGAGTCTGTAACAGTAGTATATTTTCAGTAATTTTACATATATGTACTATCTCATTTGATTAATTTATACCATTAGAATTTACGAAAGTGTAATTCATTCAATTGCTGTAAAAGGGACATGTTACGAATCACGATAAGACAAAGTTCTTTTAAATACCAAAGAGGACGATATCAACAGTTTAATTTCATTACTAGAAATCAACAAAAGGTTACTGGAGGGGAACGTGATACACCCGACTGCGCCACAAATAACGAAAACGAGAGTCGGCTTCATGGCGGTAACAACAGATTCACAAATGCACATGGGTGTAAACCAGGTTGTCCTCTTCCCTAATGTCATAGAAAATGTAGGCAATGGACTTGATCCACATTCTAGCATTTTTAAGGCACCTGTATCCGGCCTTTACATTTTCAGTGCTTCCATCCTTAGTCATGCTGGAGTAACAGTTCGATGTGTGATTGTAAAGAACAGTCAGGATGTTGCGTATATATTTAGCGGTGACAGTACCACCTACTCATCCGGATCCAAAACTGCCCTTCTGGATCTCACCGTTGGTGATGATGTATGGATCAAAATATATGACATCTCTGATGTACATGTTTACGGGGGTGCTTGGTCTTCGTTTATGGGCGTTCTTGTTTCCTGAATAAAGGTTCTAAGATTTTAGTTTGGCTAATTTTTGACACAATTATTATTTCAATTCCGTAAAAAATTGCAACTTTGTGAATTGTAATAGGCACCAATAGTATAAGTTACCTCTTATGATATAGAATCCACTGATTATAAAAGCAGCATTTTGGACGTTTTTGCATTCAATTAATATATACTCTTATCATTAAGCAACCACAATGGTCACTGTTTATGAGAAATATACCCACATTATTATTATTTTTCTATGCAAAATTGTCGCAATAATTGATATCTCAACAATTTTAACCCCTCCCCCCAATACATACATACATACATACATACATACATACATACATACATATATATATATATATATATATATATATATATATATATATATATATATATATATATATATATATATATATATATATATATATATATATATATATATATATATATATATATATATATATATATACATATATATATATATATATATAGACTTTTTTACTTAGACAAAAATATCCCAATGATCTAATAGACGTCGCTATTGAAAGGGCCAAGTCAATACCAACTACAGATCTCCGGAGTTCTACTAGAGCAGGGGCCCAGGAAAACAATAAAGAAATCCCGCTTGTCGTTACACATACCCCCGGAACCTTAATATGTATAATTCAGTGTTTCCCCATTCTACAACAATCCCAAAATCTAAAGGAATTAATTGACCTGAAGAGCATAATCTATAGCCGGCGCCAACCCCCAAACCTGAAGAAACTCCTTACAAGAGCCAAATTTTCGTCAAATGAAGACATACGCACAGTGGCCAGATGTATGGACCCCCTATGTGGAACCTGTCCTTATTTAAAAACAGGAGAGACGTTTACTTTTAAATGTGGTAAAACATTTACCGTAAGTGCGAATATGTCATGCAAATCTAAAAATCTAATATACTGTATGACTTGTACTTCATGCGGGGAAAACTACATTGGACAGACCGGTAACAAACTAGCTGACCGCGTAAGAGTCCATAAACAACAAATACGGGACCCTTCTGTCAGGAATACGCCATGCAGTGAACATTTTGATTCATGTGCGAATGGAAACATTTTAATATTTCCATTTTATAAAGTTCTAGAAAATAATGAACAATTACGGAGGGCCAAGGAAGATTACTTTGTTAAATTATTTAAACCTAAACTAAATATAAATTGAACATTATAGCTTAAAATTAGCAGTCTATTTCATCACAATGTACATATGTTCAATTCTCTACTTTTGGCGCCCTAATGAAAATTACCTGCACCAATATATAATGCTGCCTTTATGACGTCACAATAACGACGTCATAACAACCAAGTTGTATTGTTTTTATAAACTTTGTTACACTCTGAAGAGCCTCACGGCGAAAGCGCTTAGTGTAATAATTAAATGTGAACTTGTTTGTTTATCTTGGATTTTATTTTAATTTATAACCTACCTATACCGTGGACTTATACTACAGTTTCAATATATATATATATATATATATATATATATATATATATATATATATATATATATATATATATATATATATATATATATATATATATATATATATATATATATATATATATATATATATATATTGTTATTTTTACATTATAATTGTAACACAAGAATTAAAATATTTCGCCCTTTAATTATAATAATTTTTCGTACTACAATTATTTATATGAAGAGAAGTCCCAAAACCTTGAGAATAAATGTCAAGGAGAAATATTCAAGTTTGTTGATATGCCTTTTACATATTTAAGTCCTGTATTTTTTTTAACTTGAGATTTAATATTCATACTATGTGTAACAGGAAAGGAGAAACTGTATGGCGGGCCCGGGAATCGAACCTGAGACCCCGTCAGTAATCACTAGTCAGGAGCGCTACGAACTGAGTTATCCAGGCCGATATACATGGCCCAAACCATATCGTTTCTCCCTCCTTAAACTGTTTTTGCCCTCGAGGACGCAATCAAAGTTCATACCCCTGGCAGGACATTCACCTGCAAGGTCTAGGGATGGTCAACGGCACCAAATTATGTAAGAGGAAAGGAGCAAAATGTATGGCTGGACAGAGAATCGAACCTCGGTCCCCTGCATCACTAGTCATGCGCTCTACCGACTGAGTTTCTAGTATCTTGGGCGCATTCCACATCCCAAACTATTATATATGACTGAGTATTAAATAAAAAAGATACTTTATTTTACTATTGTTATAAATTTGATACTTTATGTTATTATGGCATTTTTGTCAGGGTAAGATTATAAAATGTTTATAAGTCTGGAAGGTCTTGTGGCAATTACTAAACATAATAAAAGCTTATTGTTAAAGCTAAACCTTTTATGCTCAATTGATTAAAGGGCATAATTTCATTTTTGAAGAGTGGTTAAGGGTCAGGTACAAGATTACAAGGTCAAAAGACGATACTGTAAATCAACTAATATTCGAATCATCTTTTATTCGCGATTCGAGTAATTGAAATTAATCCGCGACTTTTATTTTTCGCGACGAGAAAATATTCTGTACATATCCATGCAAAATATAGAGGATATTCAATGTTTTGTAGATGAATATGGAATTTATTTCACGAGTGGGACAGGATTTTTTGATATTTTCACGAGTGCGAAGCACGAGTGAAAATATCAAAAAATCCTGTCTCACGAGTGAAATAAATTCCATATTTATCTACAAAACATTGAATTTTCTGTTTATTACATTTTCTTTGATTTTCCCTTTGCCTCTGTCTTATCTTAACACAGTGTCATAGGCTTGACGTCATAGTTGAGCGGTTGAGACGTCATAGCTTAGAAGTTGTGTGTCAGATTGAAAACATTACATAGCATGGATTTTAGCAACATATTTAGGAAGAAATTTGCAGTTTTAGCTCTATCAAGATGCTTAGTTACAATCTCTATCTTATGACAGGCCAGAAATTATTTTTTACTTACTTTGATATCCTTTCACACTGTGAGAGAATATCATTTTTGGTATCCTTTCACACTGTGAGAGAATATCACTTTTATTCAGTAAATAAATCACAGTATTTCACTGTTGAAAATGTAATAAAATTGGTTTCGTGGCGATTAATATTCACGAGTTAAAGAAGGTCGCGAAACTCGCGGATATTTCTCGCACGCGAATAAAAATTCGTTTAGAGTATTTTGAAAAGGTCTGGTGATAAAAACAGTACGCTTGCGTTACAAGTATCTTGCGATTGAAAAAAGTTTATAGTTTCAATTTGAAGTTTTATTTGAAACATAGATTACATTCAAGTTCAGTCACCTGGCTGCGAAATACATAAATGAAATGAGATCGTTCGGTTTAAGCCACTGGTCACGGTAGCCTAGTGGTAGGGCGTTGACTTCATTATCGAGACCCACGCCGCGTCAAACCTATGACGTAAACATAGATAATGACTCTTCCTTCGCCAAGCGCACGGCAAGAGAAATGTCACGGGTCTTTCGGATGATACCATAAAAATCGAGGTCATATGTCATGGTTGGCGTTGGTACGATAAAGAACTCTCATTGCTCAATGGCCCTGAGTGCCGAGTATTGGTCTAAATTCGAACCCTTCACCGGTATATGGTGACGTCTCTCTATGAGGGAAAAATTCTCGAATGGGACGTAAAACAACAAACAATCCATTAATAAGTCGATTTAAATTATAAAGGCTTTGAAAGACAAACAGATGCCTAATAAAGCGGTCCCTATATATTTCGCTCTGCTTTGCAGGCTACATAAAAATTCAATTGCAGCATTACAAGTCTTATGCTTTATGAAGGTTTATGTACTTATATGGTTAGTAAGTTATCTTAGGTTAAAGTGAATTTTTAAATAGTTGTTCAGAAGTTAAGCTCAAATGCCAGTTTACACTATCTCCTCAACCATTTGATTTAGAGGTGTTGTTTATAGCGTTCGTTTTACTTGTCACAAAACCGAATGTCAATGTGGGGGGAACAAGAAATATAGGATCTCCCATGATTTGTAGTTGGATATGATTTTTATCCAACGAGTTGTGTGTTTTTTTATCCCCGAGCCTTGGCGAGGGGATAAAAACACACAACGAGTTGGATAAAAATCATATCCAACTACAAATCACGGGAGATTCTTTTTATCCCATGTTTAATACTTCACAACCAATATTTTACACTGTTTTATATAGGACTCCACTTTATTTTACTTCATCGCGCTAACGCAAAAACCATTGTGACGTCACAACTGTGGATTATGAAAAAATTATCCAATGAGTCATATCCACGGGATAAAGGGGTAAACATGGGATAAACATGATTATACAAGTATAAGTTTCATATTGATTGAATCATTTAATATTGGTCCTAAAACTAATTTTTAATTGTTTTATTATTCCTTTTTTATTGCTATGAAAGTGATCGCCATTTTATGCAGTATAAGTATGTTTTGATGGTATAGACAATCAGTTCCAGAAAAAAGCAGATATATGATATTTTATTTTTGTGCCATTTCCACCCATTGTTTTTTTTTCACTCTTGGACTTTTAAATACATGTATTTAAAACTTGCATGTCAGTGGGAGCATTTGTGTCACCCTGACACATATAGTTTTATATAACTTTAAGTTAGATTTGTATGTACCAAAGAAAACATTTTACCATAAATTAGTTCAAATTTAGCACAATTTAAATTCTAAAATTGCTCCCATCCTCAATTTTGAGCTGTCCAATTTTTCTTAATGATATTTGTAGAACGCAGGAATTAAAATGTATATTCATGTACTATATACTCTACATAGATTTAGAGTACATTGCAGATTTAGAATATTTCGTGATACATCACCCATTTAAAAAGAAAAAAAAAACTTGTATATTCATAAGTGCTGCCTAGAAGGAATTTTAAGTAGAAAATCCTTATAGAGACCAAGGTGTATTTAAAACAATGTTAATTAATTTCAATGTCATATTATACGTAATAACATCAAGAGAATACGCTTGGTATCTTTGTAGGTCAAAATTTCTAGTTGCCCAGTTTTATATATTCTTATCAATGTTTTTTCTCTCTATATTTTGCTTACCATAATGTGTAGAATGATATTTAAATGCATTATAATTTTTTGCTTGTGTTTTGCCTTCTCACATGGATATTCCAAAGACGAAAACAAAATGGAGATCCTTGAGGGAAAGGTAAAAGATCTTGAAGACCTAACAGAGAAACTCTTCAGAAAACTTGAACTTGCTGATAGAAATATCCAAACCTTGATATCTGAGAATGTTCAGATTAAAAAGGAATTGAAGGACACACGAGACCAGGTACGAGCATTGGAAAAGCGGAATGTTCACAAGACTGATTCCTCTTCTTCATCAGGATTTCAGAAAGCGCTGGAATCTTTAAAGAACATAAAGAATCAAGGACAGAATCGCAAAATTCAAAGTGAAAGACGTAAATATTTAAAAAAAAATTATGTGTAGAAATTAGATGCTTTGAAGAAAGTTTACATTTTTTGTTTAATGATACAAACATTTCTTTGTATGATTTATATTTTATTCATCTAAAAGGCCTAATTCCGATTTGAATATATTTTTAGTGAATTGATAATAAATATTCTCTTTGAATATGCAGACCATTTTATTTCCCTTTTCTTTGTATCATTTTTAAGTTTTGATGCACAACCAACGCGATGTTATCAGGTAGACTGGTATATTTCGAAACACTTTTAATTTTAGGAAGGCATCTAAGGCAGCTTGAAGCCTATCATCAGTCCACGCACTCAATCATCTCACAACCAGTGACAAACCAGAGAGTCGGCTTCACTGCAGTAACAACAGACCATCAAACACACATGGGAATTAATCAGTCCATTCTCTTCCTAAATGTTATAGAAAATGTTGGTAACGGACTTGATCCTTTCACAGGTGTCTTTAAAGCCCCCGTTTCAGGACTGTACATTTTCAGTGTCTCTTTACTTAATCACGCAGGACTCGAAGTGAGAGCTGCAATTGTGAAAAATGGAAATTCAGTTGTAAATATATTCATCGGTGATAGTGCCACTTATGCAAGCAGCTCCAATACGGTTTTGTTGGATTTGTCTATTAATGACGATGTCTGGGTCAAAATTATCGGAAAATCGGATATAAATATCTATGGATATGCTTGGTCGTCATTTATGGGAGTTCTTGTCTCATGAATGGCTTATGCTTTTACATATCAATTTCTTGTAGGTGCTTAAATAAAATCAAAGTGGAAAACACATTTTGAATTATGATTTTTCGCATAATGTCTGTTAATATACTACATACAATAGGGTAGATTATTAATTTCGCTGCGGCTTGAAGCTGAAAAATAAAGGTTAAATTCTGTTTATGCAGAACACGGACAGAAAGTTCAAGAGAACGTTTTTCACGTAACAAAGCCGACGCAATACCCTATAAATTGTCCCACAATACCGATGTAATCACTTGATTAATTAAATACCTTGGATCATAAACTTTCAGTAGATCATTTTCCCCAAAACATTGATCTGCTTGATACGAATTCTGGAGTTCAACTTGTATGATTATACGGCAGTAAATCAAAGTCAAAGGGGATTTTCATGACGAAAATGGTTGTCACTTTGGAAATAGATCACCATTCACGGTTTACCGTTGCTTGCAGTCAATAAGGTAATATCGAAGTATGCGTTTGAATTAATGTATACTTCACACTCTGATAATCTCTAGAAATATCAACATTTCTCACAGCGCTTTACTATGAGGCACCGTTTTAATTTTTAAAGGTTTTATTTTCTGATATCAAAAATTCGCTTTTTAAATATTAAAAAAAAATATTTCTAATATCAGAAAATAGATGTTTCTGATTTTTGATATCCTAAAATAAACGCGATTTTTTTTTATATCAAAAACTCGAATTTCTGATATCAGAAAGTCATTTTTTCTATGAAATATGGAGATTACGAACGGTAATCAAGCTCAAAAGTCGATTGAAACAATACAAATCGGAAGCGGATCAAAGACGGTCTTAAAAACATAAGAGGTGGGCTCAGGTGAAAGTATGAGTAAGTACCCCCTGTCGACCGGTCAGATCCGCCGTTTGCTCGTTGTCATGATCGGGGAAACGGAAAAATTCGTAGACAATTCAGTATCTGAATAATGACTGAACAATTAGTATGAAAAACGTGGTCAACATTCGACTTATTGTTATATTGTATTTGCGGACAAGGTTATTCTATCGACTATAGAACTTGCGAACTTTAAACGAGACTGTTGATATTCTTGTTTCATCAACTTGTTTGTCAATAGCTTGCCTCGTAGAAATTATTCTTACATGGAGCATGCTCTTGCGTATCGAATCAACTGGGACATATAAACCTGATATGCAGATGATAGGGATATATTGCGACATAAGTAAGGGAAGTTGGCTATAGAAAGGTTGAACTCATCACGTTTATCATTCAGTTTTGTTTACGTCTTTTTCTATTAAAATATCCAAACATGAAACAGATTTGTCAGACTCTGTGGTATCTTTTATTTCAAGCTCACTGGGATATATTTTATGATAAATACTACTCTAACCCATCTTTACTATCCTTAGCTGCTATTTCTTTGCAAGCAAGTTCATGAACTATGTTACTAGTATGCAAATAAACAAAAAAGATTGCCCACTTTTTAGTTTTATTTAATACATATTTAATATTGCTACTGAAGCCGGCACTTTTACCTTGGAACACTCTTATTTGTTCTGTTATATCGAGAATTATCATGTTATAGAGTATCACGTGTTAAATGGAGTCAATCAGAGAAAAGATTTAGAATCAGATTTTGACCTGATGCTGCTTGTCTGACGACCCAGTCAATAACTGTAATAATGTTGTTTTCGTTGCATTGATAGGTACGTGTTTCACATTGAAAAACAGCAGTTTCGATCTTTAAAAAAATTAAGGATTCCTTTATTTTCTAATATTGTCAAAAAAGCTTTTTTTTTATCTTAATTACAAATCCCATCCACTGTAGACCTTTTTTTAATTTATTTTTTTTATTTACAGAAACAAACAAGTTACATGTATATCCAGATGCTAACACTTAAATACACATACATACAGACATACACTCACATACAGACACACACTCAAATGTAAACAGACATATACACATGGAAAAGAGATAAAACAAATATCAGTATTACATAAGTTCACAATAATTTTATAGCATTAGTAATATAAAACGCCTATGCTTTAAAATCATTAAATCATTTGAAAAAGACATTTCCAATTTGACCATTTTTTTTTTCAAATAATTCCTCACCATATTTTTTTTCTATAATAAAATAATTATTGAGGTACAATAATAAATCATTAAATAAAATGGTACCCTTTTTTCTTGACGTTTGAAAAATATATTATTTCTTTACTAATACAATAATCATATTCAAACCCACATCAATGTCTACAGTACAGAGCATTACATTTTGTGTATTAAACTCTAATATTCTACCAGATTGTAGTCGAATAGAAACCTGACTGTAAACTGTGCAACTTAAAAATAAGTGTTTTATTTATGTTAATTTGTTGGTGATGGTACATGTACATGCATGAGGATTGCTTGTAGGAAAAGAACTTGTAATAAAAAATAAGAAATAGACGTGTTCAACAAGTTGCTGCAGGCATCCAGTCTAGTAAATGTACTATTTGAGTGCTTTCCATATGCATCAATACCAAATATCATGATGAACTCAATTTCACTGGTATGCATTCCCCTTCGTTTCCTTTGTGTCATGATTTTGCATTAATTAAACCGTCGGGTATGACTTTGTAATTATTGAACCTTTAAAAGTATATATTATGCTACTACAAATATTTCCTACCATTAAAGATCTTTTAACCTCTGGATAGAATGACTAACAACCACAAAGTTGTTCAAATTTTTAGCATTAATGTTGAAAGTGATCAAGATTATCAAAGATATGCATCTCGCCGGAAGTCGTCCGTTGTCAGAGAGATATCAGACCGAATTCACTCAGTACTGAACCGAGAAGAAGAAGATGATACTGACCAGTCCGTTGATGGAGTGTTTCGATTCAAGTGTCAGCTAGACGTCCAAGATGTCATCCCGAGCAACGGACAGACATCAGTAGAGGCGCATCATTACGAGAGAAGGGGGAGTTCTGTTTTAAGAGAGTAAGTCTGCCTGTCTGTTTGTCTGTCTGTCTGTTTCGCAAAAACTTTTAACATTGTTCATAACTTTTAATTGGTAGGAGCTATGGCTTTCATATTTCACATGTGTATTCCTTGTGATAAGACCTTTCTTTGGGTACCATCATATTTGACCTTTTGACCTTGACCTTGGAGTTTAACCCAGTTTTACAAAATTTTACCCAACTTTAAGCTTGGCAATAATTTTTTAACAGTTTGTGCTAGGGCTTACATACTTCACATGTGTAATCCTTGTGACAATACCTTTCTCTAGAAACCAACAACTTTGACCCTAGGAGTTTGGCCTACTTTTGAAAATCTTTAACCTTGGTACTAACTTTTGAACGTTGGTGCCAGGGCTTTCATTTTTCACATGTGTAATCCTTGTGACAAGACTTTCCTTTAGATACCAACAATTATAGCCCATTGACCTTGAAGTTTGACTACTTTTGGAAAACTTTAACCTTGGTCATTACTTTTGAACAGTTGGTGCTAGGGCTTTAATTCTTCACATGTGTAATCTTTGTGACAAGACCTTACTTTAGACACCAACAATTTTAGCCCTTTGACCTTGACCTTGGAGTTTTACCTACTTTTGAAAAATTTCAACCTTGGCCATATCTTTTGAAAGGTTGTTTTTAATGCTTTCATATTTCACATGTGTATTTCTTGTGAGAAGGCCTTTCCTTGGGCACTATTAATTTTGACCATTTGACCTTGACCTTGATGTTTGACTTACTTTTGAAAAACTTTAACATTTTCCATATCTTTCAATGATTGATGCTAGGGCTTTTATATTTCATAGGTATATTCCTCAGGACAAGACCTTACTTTGGGTACCAACATATTTGATTTGCATTTGAGAAATTTACCCTTCGCCATAATTTACCATACGGGGGCATCTTGTTTTATAATTTAATGGTATTAGATTAATCATTAACTTAATAGTTTCTTTTAAGTAAGAATGTTTATGTTGTATTATTAACACGCCAATCGTAGATGTTTATTGCATTTCTCTTTCATTAGACAAAGCGATACATTACCAGGAAAAGACAAGCAAAAACCTATAGAATTCAGAAAATGGTTTGTGTTGGTGAGCAGTTTTGTTAATATGTTTATAACCGGTGGATTTCCTTTCAATATGTCTGTTCTCTTTGTGGAGTTTTTACAAGCCTTTGGAAGAACCAAAGCGGAAACATCTCTGGTTCAGTCTGTTTGTACCGGCTTCTTTTTTATTGGAGGTAAAAAAACATCTTCATTGGACAAAAATAGTTTTTTTTAAATTAATTTGTTTAAAATATATTCTAAAGTAGCGCTGAAACGAATCTTCGAGTATTAGTATTCTTGAGTGTTAAATGGCGAACATTGGAAAGGAAAATGAGAAATAAAATACAAGTCTACATTAAAACAGAATCATTTGCATGTTTAATGACCTATAATGCCTAACATAGTGCTTTATAAATATTTACGAAAAATGTTAAGGATCAATGAGTAGAGGAATGGCCGTGTATCCCTAACAATTCTCAATTTTTGCTTGCAAAGTAGGCTACAAGTCGTAAATTAAATTGTATTTAGCTTATAAGATTTTGTTTATTGATCCCTTCGAGAATTTTTCACTCATATTGAGACGCCGCTACTTAACGGTGGAGGGCTGCAAATTTAAATCTGTACTCGGCACTTAGGGTCTTTGAGCAGTGAGGGATCTTTTTCGTGCCAGCACCTACTGAAACACGGGACTTTGGTTAATAAATACAGTCTCATCTGAAGGACTGGTCTCCGCGTCCTGCAGTGGAATTCGAACCCTCAACGAAATGATCAACTGCTTACTCCGGGAGCAAACGCGCTAACCACTCCGCCACGCAGGCGACTACATATAAGATAGTTTCTAAAGAAAGGCGCATAACAGTATCATTCTTAGACTCCCATTTAATAATAAATAAAGCCATAAGTACTTTGTAATTATGGCAATTTAGACTAGCAGAATTAATTTGCAAATTAATGTCTTTTGTAGCTGCAGAACTGTGAAACTGTGAGATTTCAGAGAGATAAAGCAGAGAGCTACAGATCCAAGCGTTGTAGAAACCTTCGATTTTCGCCGCAGCTTTCTTGTCGCTCGCTTCGGGTATTATTTCTTGTATTTTATGCTTTCCCCCGCTTTTAGCATGGTATCCAATAATTAACAATTTATTTTACTCCTATTTTACTCCTATTCTTGATACTTTACTTACCTTTTAACGGTCCCAAACATCCCTTAATGGTTGGGGAATGCCGGATTAAAAAATTCCCATTCCGACCATGTTGGGGGTCGTGCGAAGGAAGGTTTTTTTAAACAAGAACATTTGTTGAGAGAACGTAAATATTTTTTTTAAAAAAATTCAGGAGGTTCAAGTAATATATATATATATATATATATATATATATATATATATATATATATATATATATATATATATACTATAAAGAAGACAATATGTAGGTAAAAAAGAAAGGAGATAAATAAAACTCGGACGTGTTATTTTAGGACGACACCAACAGGGGCGTCGGAGTGCATTTTCTTTTAATGAAATATGTGGAGATAACGAACAGTATTCGAGCTCAAATGACCATTAAACATTACAAAATAGGAGCAGAGCAAACACGGATCTCTCAGTTTTCATGGAGGAGTGAGCATCCTCTGCCGACCGGTCACACCCGCCGTGTGCTTCTTGTCATGATAAAACGGAAATAACGAAAAAATCCGTCGACAATTCAGTGTGTAAATAATGGCCTAACAATTAGTATGAAAAAGTCAGTCAGCATTTGAGTAAGGAGTAAAATGTATGCTTAATTATTGGATACCATTCTTAAAGCGGGGAAAAGCATAAGATACAAGAAAAAAAACCGAAGCGAGCGACCATTAAAAAAAAAAAAAAAAAAAAAAAAAAAAAAAATCCGCGCCGTAAATCGAACGTTTTTACAACGTTTGGATCTGTAGCTCTCTGGTTTATCTGTCCGAATTTTTTCAATCAGAGAGCTACAGTTCTGCAGCTATATCTTTTTTAGATGTATTTATTTTATGTTGAAAATTTGAAAATTTGATGAAAAATGACGTTTAAAATTGTAGAGTTAGTCCATGTGTATTAGTTAAATAACGTTCGAAATGCATACCTTTAAAATTATATAATGCCAGAATATCTGAATGCTAATATTTGTAGTAGTATTCAAATGCTTATTTCTACTATAAACCTTGTGTACCTTTTAAAATTTATATATTTTGAAAGAAAAGCCAATACAAAGTTACTAAATAAATATAAGCCTCATTCGGTAAACCCCCCGATAGACAGCTTCTTAGACTATTAATGAGAGTGTTTTTAAACTTCATAAACTTCAGCAAATCACGAAATCATTTTGTAGGTCTAGTTACTGGCACCTTAGTTTCAAGGTTTGGAACAAGAATTTGTGGATGCTGTGGAGCTTTGCTGTCAGCTGTTGGAATAGGAGTCTGTTTTGTAGCCCCAAATCTAGAATTTTTAATTGTTTTCTTAGGAGCAATGGCAGGTTAGATTTCGATGCTTTAATGCTTTCTCGATGTAAGTGCGACTATTTATATACGTATATATATATATATAGTTGTAATTCTTCAAGCAAATTTTTAAAAAGTTTACATTATTTGGATTTTTTTTCTTTTAGGCGCTGGATTTTCTCTAAATGTTATTTGTGCATCAACGAGTGTATCTCAAAACTTTTCTCAAAAGAAAAAAGTTATGTTTCTGGCAATTATTTCTACCGGTTCAGGCGTTGGAGCACTTAGCTTTCCATTGATGCTCCAGTATTTTACGGATATGTTTGGTTGGAGAGGATGCCTTCTGGTCATTTCTGGACTTGTTTTTAACCAGTTTGCTTGCGGGCTGATGTCAGGTCCATCCTTCAACACCAAAACATCAAAGAGTCTAGATCCCTATGACGATCATGAAGTTAAAAATGAAAACAAAGGATCGCAAAATATCTGCTTTTCTAGGTTTCAAACACTAATGAAAAACAAAGTGTTCTTAGCTTACTGTCTTTCTTTAGCATTTGTGTTGACTTCATTTAACTCCTTTCTTATTTTCTTCATAGACTATTTTGAACAGAAAGGATTCGAAAGAACTTCTGTAGTGTGGTTATATTCTGGTATGAATATCATAAGCTCCGTATTTCGGTTTATTCCTGGGTTAATGGCCCAGAGCTCAAAGCTTCCAAAACTAGCTATACCGGCAATATTTTCAGCTGGCGGATCTGTTGGACTTGCTCTCCTTCCTCTCATGAATTCCTATTTATTCAATGCCATCGTTGTCGCCTGTTACGGCGCAGCACTAGGGGGAGTGGTGACGGTTATATCAATTACGACGTTGGATCTAGTTGGTGACGAGAATTACCCGACTGGATTTGGAATGCTTTTAGCTGTAATCGGTTTCGCTAACACTGTTGGCGCTCCAGTATCAGGTAAAATTAATTTTTATGATCCCGAAGATCGGAAGCATATTGTTTTGATACAAAAGAGCATCAGCTTCATATCTCCTCCTGATTCGTATTGTTTGAATGGACTTTTGAGCTTGAATGCTGTTCGTTATCTGCATATATTTCATTATTCATTATTGAGAATATTAAATAGCCATTTTGCGAATACCAGTTGCAGAACTAAATTTAAAGTGTAAGTATGTCACAAGATGATGGATTTGACTAATGGCAACTGAAAAATTTATAAATTTCAATTAAAAAAAAAAATATAAGATACATTTTACTTGATACTTCAGTAAGTAATGTTCCAAACATTGATCCTTTCTTAGGAATTAATGGAATGAACTTGGCAAAGTGCATTTTAATAACAAATTCCTCCTAGGGAATGAAAATCCATTTGTAAAATCGTTAAATGTAAAATTAATAATACAATAATTTTGGCAAGTCTCTCTGATACTCGGCGATTTTGCCTCTGACCAAAGAGGTTTCTTTACCGTGACACAGTGACACCAGCTGTAACACAGAGTTGGTTAAACGGTGTGTGAAAAAATGTAAAGTAAATTGCTCTATATTTATGCATTTACTTAAAATATCCTGACATTTTTAAATAATATGTCAAAAACTATAATTGTTCACATTAAAACTTTTCCAAGTTTGGGGGTATTTGTATTATAAAACAAGATCATCTTTAAATCAATTTTTAATATCAGTTTTTTAAGAAAGAGAAAGGTGGGAAAAATATAATAAAGGACGAAAGGGGTTTTAAAAAATGTAGACTTCTTGATGATTTTTTTTTCATGCTGACTACAGATATGTTGTTGGCTGAAAGATCATGGCAGTCAAAGTCTTCTCTCGAGAACAATTGCAATCACTCATGAAGCAAAGTGTCATTCACAAATATGACCTTGAATTGATTTGCCCCTCCTCTTGGGTAATGTCTGATAAAAGCATCCTTGCTGTTCAAAGTATCCTTGCTGTCCTGATAACCAACCCCCAACAAAAGCAATGCTCATTAACGAGTAGTATTATGCTTGGTCACCACAGTATCTCAAAGGATACGAGAGATCCACACAGTATGTATAATTAATGAATATAATCACAAAATTTTAATGTTGTCAAGCTTACACTTTGAGAGAGAGAGAGAGAGAGAGAGAGAATTGGATATGTTCTTATTAGAATTTGTGTTAAAACACATAATTTAGTTCATTTTAAAGTGGATAAAATTGTGTTTTATTAAATCGTGGGTGTGACACGGGTATTCTTTAATGGCAGAATTTGTATCATTAATGGATTTTGTACTAATTGCAAAAATTATGAGTGCAAAGTTAATGAAATTTTGCATTATGCATTTTTGCTGTATGAACAGCACAACCATGAGTGGAACTACTAATGGGTTTTCACTTATGAAACATTTATTCTGATATTTTTGTACTCTTATGATATCTCTAATCTTTTAATATTTTTTAGAAACATATGTATGTTCATGGTACTTTTTAGACGCCACTGATTTTTCACTATTTTTAACAGGGTATTTTCGAGACATCTCTGGGTCTTACAACTACGGAATATTATCGGGTGCAGGAAGTTCATTCTTGGCAAGCATAATATTGACTTTCGCCGCGATATACCATAAACAGCATGGCGAGGATCCTATGTCCAAATTCAATATGGAGATAGAAGTCCAGGCGCGTAGGAAATCCAGACGACGGTCTAGTATTCTACCCTGGAGGAGAAGTGTTGACTTTGGCTTTGCTTTGTGATCATACGATAGGGTGCAATGGTGCTCAATTTGGGAAAGTCAAACGAAACTTATAAGAGAAATAATGCAAAGGGAGACATTTTAGTGGCTATATATTAATAATATTAATACCTCTAATGATATAACATGTAGGATTAACTGACACACCTATTGCATCCATGAGTGAAATATATGAATCAGTAGTCAAGTACCTTAACCATTATGGTAAAAAGAACACAATGGTACGTGTTATTTCATTAATGGATAGCAATGATGTCTACAATGATAAATTTTTGGTTGTGGACAAGAGCAAATTAGATCAATGACGATGCAAACAATTAATGTTTCATTTAGAATGTTAAATCGTCCACCAATAGTCGATTTTATATCACTAGTTGGTTAGTAAAAGGGGTCTACCCCCAATTAAATTCTATGCCATCTGAATGATGTCGCTCAGGGAACAAGACTCGGGTGCAAAACGTAATTTATACTTAAAATTGAATACCTCTTATGTATATTTGCATCTATTTTTACAATGGATAATGCATATACATGAACTATGTACTCGTAGCATATGTATCTGAAAATCTTTAAAGCCATATATATGGCAAATTTTTGATAATTTCATATAACCAAAATTAAAAAGATCTTTCTATTTGTTTTATTTCTTTATATCAAGATAGGACTATTCTTTAAATTGCACAATTTAAACCAATCGCGTTTCAAAGATATTAAAAATTTAAAACAATAACCGATTTATTTTCCGACTCCGCTAAAAAAAAAAAAAGAGATTTGAAAATCTCTGCCTTAATTTGATCGCTTGACACTATAATATCATGTACATTTATACCTCTTCTTCCATCATGGCTTTAGTGTTATTTTTCCCCGCAGTCAAGTGCGTAACGGCTCTTATTAATATTCAACTCAATTACAACAAAGTGTACAGGCAATTTAACAATAGAAAGGTGAGGTTATTAGAGTTCGAAATCGGTGGAAATTTTAATCTAAACGTACATAACATATATCACGTAATGTCGTATTATAATGTTTAGCTCAGATGCGCAAGCTTTAAAATTCCTCAGACTGAATCAATCGGAATGGGCGCGTACGATTATCTGGATTTTTTTCTGGTCAACAATCTACTATTTTAATACTAGCTCATATAGAGTAGATAACATTAAGAATTTTAGATGGGAAAAAACTCATCTTATTTCGACTAAACAACTAAAATATATCCACTTCTTGATTCAAAGACACAATATATCAGCAAGGGGTAAATTCTTATTTTTAAAATGCCGTCCGTTGAATAAATAAGAATTTAGTATTTTACTTAAATTCTATTTCCGTCACATAAAAATAGATACAATTTTTCCAATAATTTTATTACAAAAAATATAATTCTTAAGAGATGTAAGAAATGAAATGTTTGTACAGTCGATGTATGTACACTCAATTTAATATGTACACTCGATATCATATGAGATCGGGGAACTATAACATTTTCAAAAATTTAGAAAATGTAATAATTATTAATAATTTAAAATAGATTCGGAACGAATTTACAATTTAGATGTTTCGATTTCAAATAAATTATCAAGATCGTTAGAAAAGGCAAGCAAATTATACTGGCTTTTCCGTAAACATGTACATGTGCCACAAATAGATAAGTCTCTTCTTACATGTAAGAGCTAGGAGACTTATCAATTATTATCTAAATTTATTGGAAAATTGTATGTTTTTTCATGTGACGGAAATAGAATTTAAGTAAAATACTTGTGTCTTTGCTTCAAGAGGTGGTGTAATAATATTTTAGTTGTTTAGTGGAAATGAGATGTCATTGGGTTTTTTCCATCTGAAATGCTTTATGTTATCTACTCTATACTAGCTAGTATGAAAATAGTAGATTGTTGACCAGAAAAAGCCAGATGATCGTACGCGCCCATATCTGTCTGTTTGAACTTTTCACCGTGTCTTGATTTGATTTCATATTCCACTTCCTTTGAACATGTACCTGTAACGATAAGTTTCTTTCAAACTATCGATTTCAGCGTCACGTGATCAGATCACTCTCGGTTTGAATGCCCCACACAGAATTCTCGTCAGCGCCGTTTTTTAGTGTCATTTGAAGACAGAAGCAAAGACTGGTCTGATTTATAGGTTTCTATGTCAATGAAATTAGGTTAACACAAATTAAGATAAACTTAGTAATAAACATAACGGTACATGTAAATTCAAAACGATAGATGTTGACACTGCATAACCTTATATAACTTTGTAGAAAAAATAAAATTGCTTGATATGCCAGAGAGACAGCAGACAAATGAATCGAGGATGTAATCATTCCACGGTACTATTATACATAATTTGAAATGATCTATACGATTTGATTAATCCTGAAAAAAGTACACCTGTAAATAGCTATTTTAAAATCTTTAAAATCTTTTAAAATCGTTCTAAGAACCAGCCAGAGGAATGATTGAGCAAGCTAGTCCCACCATCATCAGAAGAAAGACGGTCCAAAATACAAGCTTCCCAGCGCTCTGTAGAAGCTTGGTTTTCTCGCCGACCAAAATGGCTTTGTACAAATTTCCTTGTCCGTACGGATGAACATATTTTCCATTTAGGGGTTGTCTAGAACGTGTTCCACTATGTCGGAAAAGTGATACATGTATCTGAAAAATAGTATGACGAAGAGCGACATTGTCTACATATTTTTTGAATGACCTAACTTGCACGTTTTAACTAGGGGGGTATATTATGCAGCATGCGGGTAAGTTGTCAATTTTTTTTCCTTATGGCCCCCCCCCTTTTTTTTCAAAATCGATCTTATATTTATTTTTTTTTCTACATAGCACCTAAAATAGAATTAAGATTCCAAATTAATACAACTGGCTATGTCTATTTTAACCCTGTTTTCTCTCATTATGTTTGGCTAGTACTTCATTAAATGTAAATAAGTAAGATGGCATGGATTGCTTAAAGAGTTTGTGTCATTTTATCATTGAATCATATAAAAAATCAATTATTGCTGGGTTTTTTCGGTTAATACGATGATTTAGCCACCTTCAAAGTAAAATATTTACCTTGCCCTTCGGGCTTGGTGAATATTGTACACCTCAGGGGTCTAAATCATTGTATTGACCTCAGAACCAGTAAAAATTGTATATTAGTAAAGATGTATACTTGTAACAATAATGTACATATACGTACCCTTTTCTTTCAATTATCTCACTCATCAACACAATCCAACAATTATTTATGGCTAACAAACTGTTAAAACGCTATTAAAATGTTTTAATTATTTATTCATATGACGAGGGAGATCTTTTATTTAAACACTGAAAAATTAGTTTAAAAAACAATTGCTTTAAATTGAAAAAAAATATTCCGGAAAGTATATTTAAATTTGACGTGGAAGATTCGCTATCTTCCTATCGCTAACGGGGGGGGGGGGGGGGGGGGTTCTGGCTATATAGTGAGACCTACCCGGGAGAAGTCTCACTATATAGCCCAATTCCGGGGGAAGTCTCACTATTATACATGTAGCCAGTCTTCCGGAATGGAAATCTCACTATATAGCCATGCGGCCTTTCGGGGAAGTCTCACTATGGGAGAAGTCTCACTAAACGACACCAGGAATCTATACTGTTTACAGTAGTGAAAATTATGATAAATAAACCATATGTCTTAATTATGAAAAAATCCTTTTGTCATGAAAACAATGAAAAAAAACCCCAGATCTAAGCTGCAAAGAATTCTTAACCTTTCAAAATACAATTATTTATGTAATAGATTAGATAATGCCATTTTGAGATCAAATATTTTACTTTATTCCATCAGTAGAATCTAATCAGGAACTTAAAATTCAAAAACGATGATAAATAAAGAAATCAAAGCACTGTATAAAAAGTACAAAGGAAATCATATTCTATGTATCGTTCTCTGTCTATTGGATCCTTCTTCTTTTACTATGTAAACTGGAATGGTGGAATTTGGTTGATCTATTATAATATATGGTATTGACTCCCACTTGTCAGCAATTTTATGTTTTCCATCAAAATTTGTAATTTTAACCAAAACTCTGTCTCCTTTTTCTAAAATCGCAGATCTAACTTTTAAATCGTAGTTACGTTTCTGTCTTTCCTGAGCTTTTTGATTTGCTGCTGTGGCTAACTGAAAAGCTTCTTTTAATTTGGACTTGAATGATTCTACATATTTTGGAATATGAATTTCTGAAGAAGATGTTGGAATGTTAAAAGCAATATCTATTGGTAATCTTGGTTGTCTGCCAAACATTAAGAAAAATGGTGAATGCTGAGTTGATTCCTGCTTCATGCAGTTGTAAGCATGAACTAAAGGTCCGATCTGGGATTTCCAGTCTGCTTTTTGATCTATGTCTAAAGTTCCTAACATCTGAAGAAGTGTTCTATTATACCTTTCACAGAGTCCATTACCCATTGGATTGTAAGGTGTTGTTCTGGACTTCTGAATATTCATGATGTTACAAAGTTCTTCAATTAATTTTCCGTCAAATTGGGCTCCTTGATCACTATGGTTTTTTGCGGAATTCCGTAATGAACGATGAACTGATAATGTAGACATTGAAAATAGGGGCTTACCTTTTATTTGTTAGTTTAGCCCCCCACTTTCAATTACCCTCCCCCCTTTTCAATTTGCTTCCGACGCCTATGCAATAATTCTTATTTGAAAGATTTTTGTACATAAAATATAGAACATTTTATACATCGCAGGAATAAAAGTAAATTTGATGCATATTTGATTCTCTTTAAGTACGAAAAGTCTAATTTTCAGAATTTCTTCGTTAAATCTTTTCCTTATAATTTTTTGTGTGAAATGAAGATTTTAATGAAAAATAACATCAAAACTTTTCACCTCAAGCGCTTTAAATTCTGTCTGAATATATCATAACAAAAACCAATCTATTTTGACTTACCACGATTTTGAAATTACCCTGCATTATATTATAAAAGATTTTTGTGCTTTGTGTCTCAAGACAGGCCACCACGACTAACATTAAGAACAAAATTGATCATATAGAAAGCAAAACCAACGCAGTATTTATTCTCTTGAAGCAAATGGTGCTCAACAGATACAAAATATTCCGAACAAAACAAAGGACATAAAATAGAAAACTCGTTTTATTAATTTATTTTGGAATTTGACAGATTTGAAATCAATGTCTAAGCCGAGATGTTGATAATGTCAAATGATAAAAAAGTCAATCATGCATTGCAGTATGCTATTGTTTGTGATACGAAACGCCTGAATACCCAACACGTTAGCTTTTATTATTGCAAAGGTGTAACGATGGTCATCAAAACTCAATTTAAGATCCAAGCTTGAAAATTAGTACGCGACCTGTTACTGAAACCTTAAGAAGATACACAGGTGCTGGCAAACATCAAAATGGAAAATCTGTCGTTGAAAGCTTTTAAAAATCAATAGAAGTTAATCCAAATGTTGCTTCCTTGTGTAAAATTAATGTTCTTCTTTTCAAGAAGACCAGCAATACCTATCTCTCTTTAATGATATACATGTTTATATAATTTCATATATTTGTAAGTGTTTCACAACGTGTTAAAATTGAAGACGAGAAATATATTTTTACGAGCTTTATATTACCACAACGGAATT